TATAAAATGATCCACTTTCTTAGGATCAAGAGAACTACTTAGTTATTTAAGTAAACCATTTCTTAGTTTCACAGAGCCAACTTTAAATTCATTCTAGATCATGCCATGTGAGGCTCACACTACAGAATGACATGAAGAGGGGAGAGATTTCCAACTCTGTCCAATGAAAACACCTGATGATCCTCAGAAGGCTGCCTCTATCCCAAGTGTGTGTGGGGGAGGGGGGGGGGCGGTGTTGCTGAATCAGCCATGTTCTATTCGAGCATAAGAAGCAGGTTTATCCAGTTATGTTTTATCACCATTTTGTATTATTCAAAACTATAAAGCATTTTGCTATATAAATACTGCCAAGTCACTTAAATACTATACTACAAATAGGAGAAACTTAAACTTTTTTTCAAAAAGGTTGACTCAATTGAGTATTTTATTCACTCTGTGTGTGGGGGTGGGTTGGGGTGGCGTGGATATAATAGAAATAATACAACTGGACAGATCTAAAGGTCCAAATGCTCTCTTACCCTCATCACTTTTTATTCTGTACCTTATCTGTATTTATATTCATTTATATTTAACTTTATATATAATGTTCTTAAAGTATTTTTATGTGTGTATTTCTCACATTCTCTTGGCTTTTTCAGATTGATTATTTTGAGATTTTTTTCTTCTAAAAGTAGCATTTATTCATTTAGAAATCAATAGACAACACAAAAATACACAAAGATGAAAATGAAACATAACAGTGGCATTTAACCACTGAAGGAAGCATTTGATAATAATTAAATTTTAGGTGAAAAGATGTGGGGTTAATAATGCCCAAGTAATTTTCATTAACATGTTGATGTATATTCTTCTAGCTTATAAATACACAGACGGACACACACACACACACACACACACACACACACACACACACAATTATTTGACCAATAAATACTAATAGAAAGAACTTTGTAATACATACTAGTATAACTCAACAGTGTTTTAATAAGAAAAGGCTCTTAAATTTATATTGATTTCTTACAATCATAAGAAAGGATTTCAGAGGCATTCATTATAAAGCAATGAATCCACTCCAAGTTACAATGGAAAAAGAAAGCCATTTAGCCAACTCAAATTGCTGCTAAAATCCTGTATTTTAAAAAGCTAGTAGTTTGGGGATTTCTACTCAATTATTCTTGGTTCTATTCTTTAGAGGCTCCTCCATGATGCAAACTTAGTGGGATGTGTTTAAGATCTGAAAACCATTAGTACAAATTAAGATGAAGTTGGCTTTGTTCTTCAACTTCCTGTAAAAATGCTCAACAGGAAAATTGATGCTCACAGCAAACCACAGCCATCCTGTTTCTTTAGCACAATCTTTTCACAGCTGCAGTCGCCTGTAGTTTCTGTTTGACGATACCAGTCACAGTGCAACATCTCTGTGCCCCAACCCGCACCCCCGCCAACCGTGCATGTCCTTTGGCCATTTTAGAAAATGTCACATCTTTGCATAAAGTTTGTTCCTATTATTGTTACTTTTCCTCTTCTCGGGCCCAAGCTCAGAGGGCTGCAGGCAATGAGGCAATCGATACAAGAGGAAAGACAGAAAAGGCTGCTCAGCCCAAGAGGAAGCAGAAGGTGGAGAAGAGAAGCAAGGGTTGCTTTATGATAAGTAGAGCGACAGCCTCGCCTAGTTAGGTGTTGCTGTTGTTCTCAGTCTGAGCTGAATGTGGAATACAAGCTTTCTGTACCCGAAACCCCTCATTTCGCAAAATGTACTCGCTCCTTTCTCGGTTGAACATGATTTCAGATTATGTTAACTTAAGTTAATTGTGCTTATGGGCTGTCTTCTCAACGGCAAGAGTTTTGGCCTAAGGGTTAGAGCAGGGGTGGGCAAACTTTTTGACTCGAGGGCCACAATGGGTTCTTAAACTGGACTGGAGGGCCGGAACAAAAGCATGGATGGAGTGTTTGTGTGAACTAATATAAATTCAAAATAAACATCATTACATAAAAGGGTACGGTCTTTTTTTTTTAGTTTTATTCATTTCAAACGGGCGGATCCGGCCCGCGGGCCGTAGTTTGCCCACGGCTGGGTTAGAGGGTCCTTGGCTATTTTGTAAATACTTCTTTTAGAATTTATTTAGATAAAGAGTTGATTAATTTGGGAGGTGGGAAAGGCATTTTTCAGAAGACATTTTGGAGCATCTACAATGTTATTACAATTAGTATGACACCAACTCACAATTTTACTGTAAGAGTAAACTGCTAGGAAAATAAAGGCTGCTATGAAGTAAAAGTATTTTTTTAACCTGCTGTCATATATGTTTAATTTAGAAACTAATGCAAATTCATGGACATCAAGCCTTTTCAAAAGTGAGAAAATGAAAGTAAGTTGAATGACCCACCTACCTGTTGTTTAACTGTGCGGAAGGGAAGGGAAACCCTGTCCTACTTTATCCACAGAACTAAACAGTATTGATTTCCTCCCACTACTTCCCATCTCTGCCAGGCATTCTCTTTAAGGGGCTCAAATCTCAAGTGTTCCTAAATCCTCAGCACCATCTTTAATTTTATCATGGAATTAAGATCTACCCCTGTTCTCCACTACACACACACATACATACACACACACTCACTCACACACAGATTCATACACATGCATGCACTCACACACACACACTGCATATATGTCAACATACTTGATGTATTTTATTCATTTTATTGTTGAAAGTGGGGCCTTTTTTTTTTCTTGAGGATGTTTCTTTTTAAAATAATTTTTTAAAGAAAAGGTGGAGCCTTCTTATAGAAGTTAGAAGTGTTACCAAACTTACTTCTGCAAAGGTCAAAGACTTAGAAAGAAAAATGTCTTATTCACTTTAAAGCTATTTACTGTTGCTGTGACATTTAAAACGAAGCATTGGCATAATCCCAGACTCCAGGCCTGGAAAAGGGCATCTGATGTCTCTAACCTGCACTTAGGAAAAAAGTTCTTTAAATTACAGAACATTTCCTACACACTTAGTCGTCAGGTGGCCTTGGGCAATTACTTAGCCTCTCTGAGTCCAGTTCCCACAATAAAATGGGGAAAATGGCACCTATTAAGTAGGGTTATTAAATGAGGCAAGTGCTTAATAACTTTAGCCATTTTTTAAAAATAAAGTAAGTGAAAGTAAAGAGCCTAACACATAGGAAAGGGCTCAATAACTGTTACTGTCCCCCCTCCCCCATTTTATGATGAGAAAGAGAAAACACAAGTTGATTTAAACCTTACTCCACATGTCCATATCTTTGTAAACCTCTGCATTACAAATGAATGGTGAAGGGAGGTGTGCATGAAATTTTAATTTTCTCAGAAAAGCATACTAATTAAGGCATTCCTTATTCTAGTATTATTTTCAGGAGTGAGGGTTGCAAAATACAGACAGAGGTAGTAATGCCAGGGAGGGGAAATGCTCCCTCCAACAAGAAGTAAATGTATGAAAGTTTGGTGTAACAAAAATGAGTTAAATCGCAAGCAGCCAGAAACTTCCCAAGTAAATGGCGTGTGTTCACGAGATGTTAAGCAAGCCTTCAAAAGGGCATCAAACTGAAAAGGTCCAGGAATTGGGTAGCTCATTCCTCTTATGTTTTAGCATGGGTCGGGGAACTTCCAACGTACAGGCCAGATCTAGAACTTGGTATCATCAGTGATCAGAGTAGATTTGCTGCTGACCCCGAGGGATGATTTTCATGGGGATTTCTCTAAGTATTGCAATTCATTCACAGTATGTGCAATCCTTTAAAGGTTTAGATATTGGAGTAATTAAAGAGCTGTGAACAATTGACCCATGAGTAAACTTTTCAAAGAGCATTAGAAAACCCAACTGATTTTAAGAGAATTGTTTAATCTCTTTAGACTACAAAATAGTTTTAACTAGATGATGTTACAGTTCAGAAGCAAGATAGCTTTATGAAGGTAACATATAATGCTTAAGACCCCCCATCCAAGTGAATAGTAAGGGTATTTTCCACACGAACTGACCTCAGAACCTTTCCCAGGCTTCTCCTTGTCCTTCCTTTCTCTCTATCCAGCTGTACTACTTTTCTTCCTGCAGCCTTTTCATTTGACCACATCCCCGTTTCCTACTGTATACCCTACTCAGACCATTGAATTATTTAAAAGAACTTGTACTTATTGACTAAATTGGCATGTGCCCTCTTAATATTTTAAAGCTTTATTTTCTATTGCTTCATGAGGGGGCGGGGAGGAATGTAAATGTCAAGTTGCTTTTTCATACATGCCCCAAAGGAAAAAAAACTTTTTTGATACCCCCAAATTTCCTCAATCCTGCTCTGTAGGTCTCTGGGTACTAGGCTTGAAATTTTAAAACTACAATATTTTATGCCAAAATATTAATCATATTAAATGTAAATAGTTATAGGGAATGCTACGGAATTGGACTAGCAATAGTGGTTGTGCATGGATTGCACTGGTAGGATGTTGAATGATTCTAAAGAGAAATCGTCTTCTCTAAAGACTGCTTAGAAATGGTTTCATTTAGGATTTGTACTTAAGTAACGTCTGTCTATTACAGTAGAATAACAACAGTTTAGTTCCATGGTGCTTTCCTTTGAAGTTTCCAGTGACTCCCTTTACTTTAAAAGCATTTGCTGTTGCTGGCCAAAGCACAGTTCAAAGGCAACCGTACCGGCCCATACACGGAAAAGTTATACTTCCTGACTGACATAAGGCCCCGTTTTAAACAGGGGTGCGGGGGAGAAGACCTGTGGATCAAACAGTCCAGGGGTCAGGAAAAATGCTACTGATAATCTTGCTTACATTTTGGCTACAAACACAAGTTATGAATCACCTGCAATCACCACAGCAGTGAAGCTGGCATTCTGTGCAAGAGGAACAGACCACGTGGCCTTCCATTGAAAAATTGAGCTTTATCTCGACATACTACGGCCCATTAAAAGCCATTTAGTTCTCCCCTCTAGCTGATAAAGAACATACATTTAAATATAATTTTTCTTACCGTTAATGGATACTGTAGGAAGGCATGATCAGGGACACAGGCAGACAGAGAGCAAGGGAGAGATGAGCCCCGAGAGAAAACGGTCCCTGAAAAAGGCATCATCTTCTAAGGCAAATGCGGGGTCGCTTTTGGACAGTCATTTTGGACACGCTCTGGCCTCTTATTAAATGTGACATACTGAGTCAGAGGCAGACGTTCTTCTGTGGTTATTCGCTTCCTGTGTGATTAATTTGTTGTTTGTTCCTTCCTCCTTTGCTGCAGAAAAAGAAACTAGATTGGTTTTACTTAAGAAGCAAGCAAGCAAGCAAAAAAACAACAACAAAAAACACACACAACAACAACACACAAACTAAACTAAAAGGATAAAAAATGTTTCTCCTTCCCACAAGGTGTAACATACCTGCTTGGCACAGTAAGAGGAGGAGATCAGAACATGCATCTAGTTAACAGCCCAACTTTATTCTAGATACCTCCACAAAAATAATTGTTCACGGAATCCGGGATTCCTTCAGGAAAATTCCATTTGAAAGAATCACTCTCGATATTAACTATACCATTTAGTATGAAGGAAAAGAGTCATTCAAGAACTAAAAGCTCTCAAATGCACCAATAATTGGGACAAATGATTCGTCCTCATCTCCAGAGCATTCAAGTGTATAGGGAGAAAGTCACAAATGCAGGTGAAGAGAGCTGGTCAGGTGTATGAAAGCAACTGCGTTTTGACAGGTGATTTGGTGCCCAAGTCAGGATACATGATACACAGCTCAGGCCATATGAAGATCCAGAGCTTTCTATGCCAGCATGTTTTGTTTGTGTCCTTCATATTTAATGGGGTAACAATACCTCTTCCAGGAGACGCTGGACAAAAGCACAGAGATAATGAACACAGAAGGAAAGCCAGGCTTCTCATTGAAGGACTCTGAGAGGTGGATGGGCAATGGAATGTAGGTAGAAAATATTATACCAAAACCTTGTATGTTTAAATAATCTGAAAATGCTCACAATTTTTTTTCTAGGTCCATCTGAAAGGATCAGATTTAATGTTCTCAACACATACCATATAACTCTGATAAAATAATATCAGTTGAAAGAATGAAAAACAGAGGCATATTTCAGTAACTAACCTTGTTGTAAAAATTGAACTTTGGGTCTTGATTTTGCTGGGTTCTGAGAAAAATGGCATGAAAAGACAAGTTGCCTAATATTCTGATAGAGCTGGGTAGACCAGTGGTTCTCAATTTAGGAGGCTGTTGGAAATGTGTGGTGGCATTTTCACTTGGGAGTGGGGGACAGTGGGTTGGAATGGTATTTGGAGCCAAAATGTAAGCAAGATTATCAGTAGCATTTTTCCTGACCACTGGACAGTTTGGATCCACAGGACTCCTCCCCCCTCCCATTTAAAATAGGGGCTTATGTCAGTAGGATTCATGGGCAGAGCCAGGAAGACAAAAATTTCCAATGATGCTAAGGACAGTCTCATCCAAAACACTGGAAATGCTTCTACTGAGGAAATGCTCCTACTGAGGAATACCGGCATAGCTGACGTCTAAGGTTCTTTCAGACTCTAAACTCTTTGAGATATGAGTCCAGCTGCACAAGCAGAGTTATCATGATGCCAAGCCATGGCAGAATTCCTGAGCACAGAGCATTGGAGGATTAGTGACTGAGAATCCTCTACTTTGCCTGGAGCCTCTTGAAGGTATGACTGTATCCCTCCTGCCTCACACAGGGCCTGGAGTCCAAGGGACACTCACTATATAAATAACCCATGCAGGCGTGGGGCGGGGCAGAGGTGGAGGCCTGCAGCTCCCATCTGCTTCCCCCTCTACTAACTACCAAGTAAATGCCTGAGTGAACCTATGGGGAAGTCTAACTATAGTTGGGTCTAAAAAGAGAACATGAGCAATAAGATGATTTCTCTATGTATTTTGAGAATTATTTTTAAGTTCTTGAAGTGAGCACCCTAAACACACACACACACACACACACACACACACACACACACACACTCGCACTCGCACACGCACACGCACACGCACACGATGCAGAGGAGCTCATGGCTATTCTTAACCACCAGCGACAGCTCAACTAGAAGGGAGTAGGTCACTGAGAAGCCTGGAGCCTCTGAGACATGCAAGGGAGTAGTTGTCTAGAGTTTGGGTTTATTTTATCTTTAATGAAAACTTGTAAATACAATCAACTTTGGACACATTTATGAGGTGTCTACCAGGCCCCCATAGGACCTAAATCTGATAATGTTTCTCCCCTGATTAAAATCCTCCAGTGGTTTCTCCTTTCACTTAAAAAGTCTAATCTCTCCACCTAGACTCAAAAAGACCCACAATATCTGGCCCCTCCCTAGTCCTCTGACCTCATCTCAAGTAACCTCTCCCTTGCTAATTTATTTTCTAGCCCTTTCTGTTAAATGCACCTATTTCGTTTGCATCCTGGGGCCTCACACTTGTAAGCCCTCTCAGCAGGTAAGCTCATCACCTGGTTCCTTCTCATTCTTCAGTTCTCAGCAAAAATGAACTCATTCATGCCCATCTCTGCTCCTGCTTTCTTTTATGCATAGTACATGTCACCACTTGACATGTTTCCCATTCATTTAATGGTTTACTTACTTGTACCTCTCTCCCCTCTGGAATTCAAGCTCCATGCAAGCAGGGACCCTCTTTCCTGCTATCGCCTCAGCATCTAGACCAGTGTCTGACACCTGGTAGGTGCTCAATTAATATTGGTTGTTGAATAAAAACAACAATAACTCCTAAAAGTTCTACCAAGACATAACATTCCCTTAAGAGCTTAAGATTGTTCCCTGTGGCACAGTGAATAACAAATGCCAAGACTAGACTTGAACCTTCTTGAGAAGGCTTAAGTTAATGGGAACATTTCCAGAAGGAGGAAAGCAGGTAAGTCCTTTAGCCCAGCAGGGGGCTTGGCAGTCTTAGGCAGTACAGGTGGCTTACAAATTGGGCAGTGGGGAGAAAAAAACATGGATTAAGAAAGTTGAAAACAAATAATCCAATCAGAAAGAAGGGGGGAGGTAAAGGAAATGAGGCAGGAAAAGATGGAGATGAGGGAGAGATGATGTGACGGGCGGCGGAAGAGTACTGACCACATCACTGACCCCAGGTTGCCTCAGAGGCCACTCTGCATAGGATGACATGCAGGTGTTGGGCGTATAAGGGCTTTCTGACCTTCCTCCGTGATGAAGTGTCCCCAGATCAGCAGCAGCTTCTTAATATAGGTCATGTTAAGGCTGAACCAGACTACAGAGATCAAAGCCCACACCATCACTTAAAGATGAGGACACGGGGGTCCAGAGAGACTAAACGCCCTGCTCATGCCATACCACAGGGCGCTGCAAAGCGGGGCCAGAAGCCTGGTCTCGGCTCCATGGCCCAGTGTTGTTACAGCCTTAAGCCTCAGTTTAGGTTCAGAAGGAGGATTTCACTTAATTCTTTTCTATAAGCATGAGAAGAGGCAGAAGAAAGAAGTAGGGAGAGGGCTGTGATGTGGACGAGAGAAATTGAGAGCAGTATTTGTATTGATTGCTGGAAGGTCTGTTATTATAACCAAAGGCCAAAGATAAGTGAATTGAGAACTCCAGGCAAACAAAGACGATCACAATTTGGACCTCAATGAGAATTTAATTGTGCACACCCCACTCAATGCATAGACCAGCCTGAGCTTAACAATAGAGTAAAACAAGAACCAATAGGCTCTCAGACCAATCAGGCAAAAAATCCTCCATATTTAATCTACTGGAAACACACACACACACACACACACACACACACACACACACACACACACACAAGAGCAAAAAGATTATAAAACAGCAGCACATCTTGGAAAGCAGTAAAGAATCAATCACAGCCAATGACCCTCCAGTGGTGACCCCGAATCAACAGAGACTGAATCAGGGCAACAGTAACATGTATAAAATATGAGCAGGGCTTAAAAAAAATAATTCCAATTTTTCAAGTTGTGTTTCCATGACTACCTGTAGAAAGTGACCAACCCTGGCAGTTAGGGCCGGTGGTTCCCTGGCTACAGTGATTGGTTCGGAGAGGAGCATGTGACTGCTTCTGTACCAAGGAGATTCGATGAGACTTTTGTAAGATGTGTAGGGCTGGGACTGGTGGCATTATAGCCACACTGTAAACATTCGGAGTCTGAGAATGAAGCTAATGCAGTAGAAGAGCTGTGAGGGGAGCCCGAGAGAGGCAGCAATCGGAGGCAACATGGTATTTGGATACTGATACAAACAAATTTAAAAATATGAGGCAACCAGAAACTTGAATACTGATCGATATTTAATAATATTAAGATTATTGCTAAACTTTAGGTGTAATAATGTTATTAAGGTTAAGCTGTTGTGTTTTGTTTTGTTTTTTAAAGAGACTCCTTAAATTTTTAGAGACACATACTGAAATATTTGTAAGGGGATGATATGATGTCTGGGTTTGCTTCAAAGTAGAGGGGGACAGGTGGGTAGGGATATAAATGAAACAAAACTGGCCTGAGATGATCATCCTTAAAGCTTGGTGAGGGGTGCATGGCAGTTGGTTATAATATTCTGACTAGTTTTCATGTACATTTGAAATGTTTCCATAATAGAAAGTTTAAAAAATAAAATAAAAATGACTTGTGGCTCACTCCCTTCTTTATCCACTAGAGGCTGTTAAAGAGGTTTGCTTACTCTGTTATATACATGCTCAGAACTGTAAGAAGTTACCTTTTACTTCTCAAAAAGATCTCGGCTCATGAATGAAATAGGACAGAGGCTGAGGGATCCCCTGTAATAGTTCAGGACTCAAATATTTCTTTCCCCCAAAAGCATTAAACTCTCAAAACCTGAGACCCTCTTAATGGCAACAAAAAGCAAAAAGCAGATGGCAGCAGAGTAGGAGGATACTGAATGGACATGCTCCCAGGAACAAGCTGGAATTACAACTGAAATACGGAAAGGCTTCCTGAATAATCAATGGAAAACTCATAGGAGAGAACCCTGATACCCAAGGACCGAAGGTGGAGACCGTATACAGACTGGTAGGAGGGGCAGAGGCTCGAAAGGGCTGGCTGGGCACCCACAGAGGGCAACTGAAGTCCCAGAGAGATATATCAGCTGGGGGGGGGGGGGGGGGGGACTCTGGGAACTAATCCCCAAGCTGGGCCCCCCTGCAGAGAGCACCAGAACCGAGAAGAGTACCCATATAACATCTGGCTGGGAAAAGCAGCAGGGTTGC